TAGGGGAGGCTTAATATATAAGGAATATATATAGAAAAACATGAGGTGTTTTGGGAATTCAATAACTTGCATTCTTCAAACTCATCCTTTGAAAAATACAGTTTTCTGGTGTTTATTAACCTGACATGATAGTTAAGGCCTAGCCTGTGGAAGCTTTTACTCTGAAAGTTGTATAGTCACTTTGATCTAAAATAATTCATTTGACCCAAACCAATAGACACTGAGAATCTGTCTCTAAATAAATGTGGAAGTATATCATTGTCTATAAGTATACAGAAAATGTTGAAGATAAAGTATTTATACTTCAAGTAAGGTGCATATGTGTATGAAACTTATTCTATTCCATTTTTTCTTGTATAGCTTTGATTTCTTCTATACTCCTATATTGTGGCCTTACATATATGATTATTTTGTGTTAACTATTTTAGTGAAATACTAATTAAAGAATATGTTGAACACTCAAGCAGTATGAAAAGATCTCAAAAGATCTCAGTTGGCAAAAAGCCAACTGGTATTTTGATAAGGATATTGTTAAATCTCTAGGTCAATTTGGGAAATATTGGCCTCCACACAAAATGCAATTTTCTTAATAAATAAATAAATAGGTATATATAATTTTTTTTTGTTTATGTGGCCTGGCCTCATGCATGCTAGGCAAACATTCTAACACTAAGCTACATTCCTGGTCTCCAAAATGCAGTTTTCTAATTCATGCACACAATATATATTAATTTCTTTAGGCTTTTTTTTATATGTATTTGTAATACTGAGGGTTGAACTCAGAGTCTTGAACTTTCTAGGCAGGTGCTCTATACCAATTAATCCAATAAATCCATGCCCCCAAGCTTTTTTTTTTTTAAACTATACATATTGTTTTGGGTAGAGCTTCACACTTTTTGTCCAAGTGGGTCTCAAGGACCTTAATATCTCCAATCTCTATCTCATCTTGCATTATAGAGATTATAGGTGTATACCCACATGCCCAACTTCTTTAATTTCTTAATGATATTTTATAGTTTCAACAGATAAATATTGCATTTGCTTTATTAAATAATTAAAGCATGAATTTCTGGCTGAAGGGAAAGTTAAGGCAAAGGCTAGTAGGTAAAAGATTTTCCAGTTTGAGGAATGCTGAAGGATTAGTAAGTGCAGAGCTTATCTCTCTGTGGTAAATTTGAAAAGCCATGGAGTTATGAAGGTCGACTGGGAGCATTATATACTCAATTGAACATCTTCCTCAAGAATTGATTTTTTTTGTATTATTGACTGTAGAAGACATCAGTAGTTTATTAGGATGGATTTCATGACTAACCCAAATCCTAAAGTAATTTAAGTATAAATATCCTTGATACACAATTTTCATCTTCTAGGGAAGGAACAGGGTCAACACTTTCACATATTTCCACTTGAGAATTAGAAGCATGATAGCCACTTGCTAGTTTTGGTATTATACATTAGGGATATGTGAAGATAGAAGATACTGTTTATATGGTGTGGAGACTAATGAGTTACAGAGGTGGAGGTAGGTGAGAGCCAGTCTGCTTGAGGTGGGTTTAGAACTTCTAACACTAAAAATAAACATTGCTCAAATTGAAAGACTTAAAGCGAATTTTGAAAATTTTGTCACCAAAGATTTATGCAGAAATCAGTCTTGATATGAAGGGTATTGTTCCCATTTTTCAACAACTTATTTCTAGGCAAATTATTTCTAAAAAAGTCATCAAACAAGATTTAAACATTGTTGAAAGTGTATTTTAGTTTCATTCTTTAAAATTTAGAAACAAATGGCCAAATCAAACTGTGGATTTTTTAGTATGGCTTTTGGAGAACTAGAGAATCAAGTGTGGCATAATTCATTAAGGCCTGAGCATTTCTGTTGTCTTAATATTGAACAACTTTTAGACCAAAAGATAGCTGAATTTTTATTCATATATATGTTGTGAACTGTGAATTAAATAGTGTGTCAGATTTTTTTTTCACTTTTGGATTGGTAGGGAAGTAAAATCCTAAGATCAGTATTATTTGAATAAAATAAGGTAAATAGGTATGCCTCATGTAATGATCTTGTTACATTATAGGCACTAGGATTGTTGTTGCTATTAAATGTAATATATTTTGCATTAAATCCTATAGCAGTTAGGAGGTCAGAAGAAATACCTTTAAAAAACGTTTAACGGTTGTACATACATATATTGATTATCTCTCATAAAGCCTCACATCAAATTCTCTATACAAATTAGAACTGAATAAGTAAAAATTCATGATAGAGTCTATAAATTTAAATGCATTTTTTCATTATTATTAGGTAGTGACAAATTTACCAGCCTATTCTTGAAAACTTCCTGAATCATCATATTAAGTTAATAGTTCTGGGGGCGGGTGGCAGCCGTAAAACTGCCATTTATGTAGAAAAAGATTATTGTAGGTTGCTTGGATTATTATGCCAAAGCATAATAATGCCTTGTCAACATGAAGCTGTGAGAAATATGATGGCTGGCATGGAACATGACCAGATTTGCAAATTTATCTTCACCAGTTAATTTATATACATTCTAAAATTTTGTCCATTAATACTGTTATTTCCCAATTATGAAATAAACTATATTTATTGAGAAAAATTTTAAAAACACTAAAACCCAACTAAATGGAAACAACTAAATGGAAACAGGTAATTGTCTGTAATACCATCATTTAGAGGTAATAACCATAAAGGACAGACTGAAGTCAAACAAATTGTGGATTTGAGTCATTCTTCATGACTTAGTAAATGTTATTTGACTTTTCTCTACTCCAATTTCCTTTATAAAATGAAAGCAAAATTACCTTATTAAAAGTATTTTTATGTGATGAAAGATCATTGGGGACACTGGCATATGTTAAGATTCACTCTATTGCTTACTAGTATTTTCTTCTAGTCTTTTCCAATAATTTATTTCTATGTTAAAAACATGTTGCACGTTTCTTTTTTTTTCCAACCTTAGTTGCTATTACACACATTCTGAGCATTTTCTTGGGCAATTTCCAGTTAATTTATTCTGTCATTGTCCATGTTATTAGGGCAAATTTCTAGATAACCTGGATAAAGTGATGGTAGCTTATTTAACTTACAGAAATACTCTGGTAGGGACTGATAAACTGCAGAGCTTTGATTTTGCTACCATTAACTAACAGGGGACCTAACACAATTCCCTGGTGTAATGTTGTGATCATTAAGCTTTGCAAGTGCTCAGAGTATAGACATGGGCAATATGCAAGGTAGTTATAAGAAAACCCAGGAGCCTGCCAACCTATCTGTGAATGTTGGTCCTAAGCTTTTTCAGTGTTTTTGACTACTCTGAGTCCTTCTTGTGTAATGAAGTCAAAACATGCCTATTTCATGTAGTCACTGGATAATCTTGATGGTTATAGCACCTTAATAAATGTTAGGTCCTATTGTTTCTTATGGTCAACACTTAAAATTTGTTTTTGTAATTAAGATGGGAAAGAATATAAGTGATATTCAGAAGTAGTATGATATGGAAATATAAGTGTAAACCACCTGGATTCTTCTCAGATTTTACAAATGAAATTATTGCATTCTAAAAAAATAATTTTACAGTACAAAATACAGCAATATATTTTTTATTTAAAATAAATTGTTTTTCCTTTCTATTTTAGATATAACAGATATTTCATTGGTTCTAAATTGATTGGCATGAGTCAGGCATCTGTGGCTCACACTTGTAATCCTAGCTACTCAGGAGACTGAGATCTAAGGGTTGCCATTCAAAATTGTCCCAGTCAGATAAATCTAAGAGATTTTTTTTTATATCTCCAATAGCCAGTAAGAAGCCAGAAGTGTACTGTGGCCCAAGTGGTAGAGTGCTAGCCATGAGGGAAAAAAGTTAAGCAAGAGCACGAGGCCATGAGTTCAAGCCCCAGTGCTGATACAAAAGAAAAGGAAAAAAAAAGCAAGCCAACCTTTGATTTGATAAACTTTATAAAGGAATATTCTTTTTTAAATTTATTTATTCATTTTTTTGGGGGGGTCCAGTCATGGGGCCTGAACTCTGGGCCTGGGCGCTTCCCTCAGCTCTTCAGCTCAAGGCTAGCACTCTACCACTTGAGCCATAGTGCCACTTCCAGCTTTTTTCTTATGTGGTGCTGAGGAATCGAACCCAGGGCCTCGAGCATGCAAAGCAAGTGCTCTACCACTGGGCCACCTTCCCAGCCCTAAAGGAATATTCTTTTAACAGACAAAAATATTTTGTGTAAGTTTTTTTCCTCTGAAACTTTAAGCAAGATACATGTAAATCATTTATAGAGTGCTCAATATGTGCTATGTTATTTAACTTACATTAACATAGGTAGTCCTTACAGTATTCTATTAAGAAGGTTCTTTTATTGTCCTCATATTACAGATGAAAAAAACTGAGACACAGAGGTTAAATAGCTTGATGGTAGTTTATTATTATATGGAGGAAATTCTACCACTTCAGAGAGTAGAATTAATAGACTAGACAGAAAATCTCTCTTTCCATGCCTGCAAGCTCCTGAGTCTGTTCTTTTGTTTTGTCAATTATGGAGCTTGAACTCTTGGCCTGGACCCTGGACCCTTTCTCAAGTGCCCTACCATTTCAGCTACAGTGCCACTTCTGGTTTTCTGGGGGTTAATCGGAGATAAGAGTCTCACAGACTTCCCTGCCCAGGATGGCTTTAAAATCATGATCCTCAGATGTTAGCCTTCTAAGAAGCTAGGATTACAAGCGTGAGCCACCAGCACCTATCTTGGAGCCTGTTCTAAGCCACTTCCTCATGTTACTTAACACTGAAAAAAAGAATAATAATTGATTTTATAATATATAACATATCATCTATAATATGTAATAATTATATGCTTACAAAGAGTTTGCATTCATCCAAGAATTTGATTAATATTGAATTTGTGAATAAATCTTAAAATTTCATCTTACTTTTGGCAATATATGTATATGTTTTAATTCATTTTCTCTTCGTTTTAGTCTTTCAGTTATGGAACAAAAATACTATATCAAACTACCAATGCTCCACAGTCTAAATTTTTTCCACCACTTCAAAAACCTATGTTACCACCTAATAGTTTTCAAGGAAAAGTGGCATTCATTACGGGAGGAGGTACTGGTCTTGGCAAGGCAATGACAACTTTTCTATCCAGCCTGGGGGCTGAGTGTGTGATAGCCAGCCGGTAAGTGAATATCAGTGGGTACTTGAGGGTCTATTGGAAAAGTTCTCTACCACAATACTGAAGAAACTTCTTTGGGTTGTTTGATTTGTATCATATGCAAATGATGCAAATTTGCATGGTGCAAATCATGTATAAAATAGACAAATTAAAATGATAAATTATATAAGTATAATCTATAAATTTTATAAAATATTATACAGATTAAAATCTGTACAGTATTATACAGATTAAATAAATCTTTGAAAAAATCAGGTATTCATTTGAAACAAAAATAATGACAATTATCAAAGTGATGATGTTTACATTTAAAACCAGTGATAATGTTACAAAGTACAGTGAGGATGCTTTGTTTCTAGTGGTAGTGATTGTGATTATTGCTTTAATTGATAGTTAACCTTATACTAGGATAATGGCTATAATCCTTCTGTTTTCTTTAAGATGGCAGATATTTCAGAACATCTATTGTATTGAATGTAGGAAGGATAAGAGCATGTTAAGGAACTTCTTATTGAGGCATATCCTAATATCGGGTAACTATGTAAATCTAGAGCTTTAAAAGCTAGTCAAGAAATTTATCCCTCCCTCCAATTTTAAATAATGTACCTTTTTCACTGTGTCACACAGAAATGCAAATTGGCTAGAACATTTTTGTTTTCATATTGTAATGTTTTAAAACAGTATTTTTATTTTAATACTGTATAGTTTATATTTGTAGTTTATTTTTGTATTTCTTTAAAAACATTTTATTGTCAAGGTGATGTACCAGTGGGTTACAGTTACATGCTTAAGGTAGTATTTCTTTCAAGCACATGAGACTGAATGAATATAGGTTGTCTAACCTCTTAAGTTTAGGCTGAAACCTACTAATATTACAAATTGAAGGTTCAAAATGGCCTGGGTAAAAGAACAAATATAATGATTATTATTAAGTAAATATAGAAAATGCCCAAGTAACTGATGTAGAAATGACTAATTCACTGAATTAGTAACAGGTATATGAACATTATTTAAATTTTAACTTTTTTTGTGTGTGTGTTCGTACAGAGCTCTGGCACTGTTTCTTGAGTTTTTGTGCTCAAGGCTAGAGTTCTATCTCTTTGAGTCACAGTGCCATTTCTGGCTTTTTTGGTAGTTAATTGGGGATAAGAGTTTCATGAACTTCCCTGCCCAAGCTGGCTTTGAACCATGATCCTCAGGTCTCTGCTTCCTCAGTAGCTAAGATTACAGGTGTGAACTGATGCCTGGCCTGAATTTTAGCTTTTGAAAGATGCACTCATTGAAAGTGATTTGTGTGTAGATATAATTTTTCATGCTTTATCAAAAATGCCTTTCTTAAAGCTACAGATACTCTGTGTTCTTTAACTTACAAATTTAAAGTAAAAGTATAATGCAAAACTTATACAAAGTTCCATGTGTTTATTTCTAGGAAGATTGATGTTTTGAAAGCTGCTGCAGAAGAAATTTCTTCTCAGACTGGAAATAAGGTACATCAAGACACAGTCATCTAAGTTAAATTCAGGAGTTGTAATGTCTTTAAATAATTTATTCATGCTTTTGCTTTAGGAAGCCTGGAATATGTAGGGCTCTTTTTTCTTTGTTCTTTTGCAGGTTCATGCAATTCAGTGTGATGTAAGGGATCCTGATATGGTTCATGATGCTGTGTTGGAACTGATCAAAGTTGCAGGGCATCCTAATGTAAGTATAATGGAGAGGAAGCCAAAACACAAGCCTTTTGATGTTGAAAATACCCACCAAGATACAAAGGAAATAAACTACTGATGTGAGCAAGGGTTGCATTGAAAGGCACTTACTTTCTGGCTTTAGGAAAATCCCAACTTTGCTTAAGGCAGAGAAATGATCAGCTGGACTGCTACATCATTTCCTTTCAGAAATACTTCAAAAGCACATTTATAACCGTATAAGAAACTTGATTTTACTTTATTTAATAAGATTATGAAATAATGAGAGCAGTTATCTAAGAGCACAATATCTAGTTTAAATGATTGATGACTTGTGTGTCTTTTTTTAATAACTTTTGATTATTTCTTGTGGTGGTGGAGAATAATACAAACAAGGAAAATTGAGGGAAACGCCACATTTCTCCTTGTAAGACTTAAGACATGAATATTTTGCTGTTATTGGTTCATTTATTAGAAAGAGAAACCATTCTTCTAGTAATCTCAAGGAGAGCATTTTTCTGTTAAAGATTTTCAGACAGGCTAATTTTATGGAATCTGCCATAGGACTAAGCAGAATATTGTTAATGAAGTGGTCACTAATGAAGACTTTCACAACGTTAAAATGACACTGGAATTATAAGGTTTTGTTTCTTTTTAAAATTTTTTTCTGTACTGGGGCTTGAACTCAACCCAGGACCCAAGTGCTATCCCTTATTATTTAACTTTTTTGCTCAAGTCTGGGGCTCTGTCACTTGAGACACAGCTCTGCTTACAGCTTTATGGTAGTTAATTTGAGATAAGAGTCTCTATGACTTTCCTACCTGGGTTATTTTGGAACCACAATCCTCAGATCTCAGACTCCTGAGTAGCAGAGATTACAGACTTAAGCCACTTGTCCCTGACTTTTATAAGGCATTTCTTGAGATACCTTGAAATAAAGTATTTTTAACCTGTATTTGTATTCTTGGCTATAGAGTCTACCCTCACTAAAGACAAGGGTTAGGATTCTGAAATTGGGAAATTACAGGAGGTTTTTAACAGACTCAAAAAATATAGAACCAAAAAAAATATAGAACCAACACATATCTAATGGTATTATTTTGTAGCTGGCTATAAACTTCAGCTGTATTATATTATTTGAATTAATAAGTTGCACAAATAAAAGTCCTGGAGCATTGAACACTTTCTGTGACTGGCCTTATTCATTTATTAGATTGTGATAAACAATGCAGCAGGAAACTTTATTTCTCCCACTGAACGACTTTCTGCTAATGCTTGGAAGACCATAACTGACATCGTTCTAAATGGCACAGCCTATGTGACTCTAGAGATTGGAAAACAACTAATTAAAGCACAGAAAGGTATGTTTCTATATATTCCCACATTTATTGGGTCCAGTCATGCTGAGATTCTGTTCTATACCCCGGGATACTTAAAAAAGTAAAGGAGACAATCTGTTCTTATACAACTCATAATGTAATGACAGAGATACTTAAATAACTACCATAGGTTATGACATAATTAATAATAAATACATATTTCAAGTGCATTGGACATTGAAAGAGAAGGATGAGATGTAATTACAGCTGAATTTGCAAAACTCTAGATGTGGAGAAAAGGGAGGGAACGCAATATAAACATTCCTGAATAAAGACCTGTTTGAGGGGAAAACAGAAGTGTTTAGGGAATTACAAGGAATTTGATGTGGATAAAAGAGGGAGAGAGACTAGGAAATAACTAGTAAATAGGAGGGTTGAAGTGTAACTAGGGAGTTCGATGTTAATCCTTTTCATTGAAATTTTATTTTTTTGGGTTCAGTCGTGGTCCTGAACTCTGGGCCTGGGCGCTGTCCCTCAGCTCTTCAGCTCAAGGCTAGCACTCTTTTTGCTTATGTAGTGCTGAGGAATGGAACCCAGGGCCTCATGCATGCAAGGCAAGTGCTCTACCACTGAGCCACCTTCCAAGCCCTTCATTGAAAGTTTTAATGAAGAAAGTAATTTGATGTGACTGGCACAGTAGAGGATAGAAAACTTGTTTGGTTTCCTTTTGAAGATGACGTAGGAGATAAAGTAGCTGAAATTTACAAGAGCTAAATACCTTACTTATTAGATATAGAAGTTATTGCCCTGGTGAATACTTTGGATAATGAGATTGAGAATACTGGAGACAGAGTAGATTGAGATGAAAGTCATTAGAACCATTTTGTTAATACTGTGAACAAATTTCTTAATGAAAGTTTGTACTTACATAAACATGAGTAGAATTTCTATGTGTAAGTATACATGTATTGTATAGAACCATTTATATAGACACTGCTGAGTTTCCTGTGTCAGATCTCATTCTGCGTGATTCAACTAGAGATAGCCAAGACTCTAGTGCTCTGTAGATTGAGGACTTAAGAGATGAGATATTTTCTCAGAGATAATGTCACTAAATGAGTAAGGAAGACATACCTCATGCCTTTTAGGTATGATCTTGTACTGAGGTTTGAGGAAAGAAGGAAAGTTCTTCTTTAGGAGCCTCTGTCTTTGAGCTTCAGTTCCTTTTTCAGTATACCATGGCTAATACCTAAATCAGCTTAAGAGAGGAAATAGAAACAGAAGGATGGTACTGAGAATTGACTGTTCTTTTGTAATGCTGGTAACTTCCATCCATTTTCTAAGGACTCATTGAAATTGAAGGCTAAGACAGCGAAGTGAGTCTGCTCCACATGTGGAGTTTGGGCCAATCACCTCTGTCATTGATTTTGCAACTTTTCTCCATCTCTGCCTTCTGTTTTTGTAAATACTTCATTTTTGGTTCTGTTTCTTTCTAATCTCTGTCTTAGTCATCACTTTGTCTTTCTCTGCCTGATTCTCTCTTCTGTTTCTTCCTTTTGGCCTCTTATTTTTTTTTTCTGTGACCCTAAGATTTCTGTCTGACTCTCTTCTCATTATTGTGTTTCATTTTAACATAGACTTTGATCTATTTTTATTCATCACATTGGATTAAAATTCTATGGGTTTTATTAAAAATAGATTAGGTAAGACTTTTTAAAAGATGGAATCCAGTTTTTATTCTACCACGATTTCTGACAGTTATTGATGCTGTAATGTGACAGAGTTTGGAGAACTTGGACCCCAGGGCCAGAGAAGAGCATCTATTTTGGTAATGGATCTACAGTCAAAGGACTAAAGTGCTAATGATCTCTCAAGTATATCAGTGTGGATGAACCTGCACGTCAGGTGACACTATGTATCTGTATACCTGTGATCAAAAGCATGTTAGGTGATCTAGCATCTTGGAAGTTTAGTCATAGAGCCAGTTAGATTGGCAACGGTGAGAGCACCAACCACTACAAGACAGAACCTCACTTGCTGAGGGTAAGAATTGCTGACAAGGTGCCCTGGAAGGGGTCAGCAGATGACCAGGGTCAAAGCACTGTGTCTTTATTAGAGGCAGAGAAGCTAAGTAGAAGGATAATCAGATTTGGTGAACAATGACCAATTATGAGTTAAGAAGCTTTTAAACACCAATTCCTAGCATGCTAAATACAGTGTTTAGATCATAAATGAAGAGTATTTGGTCACTTTCAAAAGGTCTTTCTTTATAACTTCATTCAGTTCTCACAATTACATTAAAACTTGTTTTTTTTTTTTAATGGGATCATTTGTCTTTTTACTGTTGCTGTGTAGAAAGTCTTTATGTTATCTGGGTTGATTATTTTGCCACATATCTTATGCATTTAGAATATTTTCCTTTTAACTTCATGAGCAGCGCCTTTTGATGAATATAAGGGAAATCTAAATTTGGACAAATTGCCAAACTATTTTCCAAACTGGCTATTCTATATTGGATTCCCAACAGCAATTTGCATATTGTAGTAGCTCCACATCCTAGCCAACAGTTGGTATTATTAAACTTTTTAAGTTTTAGCCCCCTAAGAGTTGAGTAGTTGTTCCTCATTTATAATGAACACTTTCCTGATACAAATGAAATATCTTTTTTTTTTGCAATTTTCCTTTATTGGGATTAAGTGATTACATACATTTTACAAATTTCACAGTATTGTGGGATAGTGATACTTAGTTAAAGTCACAAACACATTCTAACCTTCATGAGGCCAATTGTCTTTATCATGGTCTATAAAGTTTATGAGTTCTATGAGTTTTGACAATACAGTTATTTCTTTTCTTCTACATCGGGTGATATGTACAGAAGATATCTTTTTAAAAATTTATTTATTTATTTATGTTTTGCTCTTCAGCTCAAGGCTAGTGCTCTACCACTTGAGCCACAGCACCACTTCTGGCTTTTTCTGCTTATGTGGTGCTGAGGAAGTGAACCCAGGGCCTCATACATGCAAGGCAAGCACTCTACCACTGAGCCACCTTCCCAGTCCTGGAAATATCTTTTTTATATATGATCATACATATATATATATATATATATATATATATATATATATATATCACATAGCATATATTCTTCGTGAAGTTTTTTGTTTGTTTGTTTTTTAGTTTTGGTTGGTTGTGGGGCTTGAACTTTGGGCCTGGGTGCTGTCCCTGAGCTCTTCAGCTCAAGGCAAGTGCTCTATCACTTGAGCCACACTACCACTTCCTGTTTTCTGGTGGCTAATTGGACATAAGAGTCTCATGGACTTTCCTGCCTGGGTTGGCTTTGAACTGCTGTCCTCAGATATCAGCCTCCTGAGGATTATAGGCATGAGCCACCAGTGCTTCTTCATGAAGTTTATGTACATTTATTTTGGTGTGGGGAAGCAATACTAGAGATTTCAGGGCCTTGCACTTGCTAGGCAAACTGCCATTTGAGCCAGAGCTCCAAATTTTTTTTGCCGTATTTTGCTTTTCAGACAGAATCTTCAGCTTTTCCTTGGGCTGAAATTGAACCATTATCCTCTCACCTATGTCTTTCAAGTAACAGAATTACAGACATGTTCTACCATGTCTGGTTTATACACGTTTCTTGTCTGATTAAAAAATTGTTTTTCTGACTTTTTGGTATTAAATTAAAATAATTGTTTTAAATTTCTTACAGAAGTTATTTATCCATTATGAAATACTTGTTTTGAAAAAATTTCCACCAAGACTGTGATTAAACTGTTCCTTAACAATTTTTTCTGAAGAGGAAAGTTGTTTTTGTTTTTTTTTTTTAAATTGTGATGTTGTCCAACTATCCCCCTATGGTTTGGCTGAGATTTACTTATTTATTTATTTATTTGAGGTGCTAGGGGCTGAATCTAGGCCATGACTCAATTCTATGCAAGCCCTTTATTACTGAGCTATGGCCCCCCCAGGAATTTTCCCTTTGCCTAATCTGAAGTCCTACTTAGGACTTCACCATGTTTGGAAATTTTACAGTTTCTACTCCTGCCATTTCAGTCTATGATATATTTTTTCATTAATTATGAGGTAATAATTGAGATCTTTCTCTTTTTTTGTATCTTTATCCCTTCCTACTTGAATTTCCTTGGAACTTTGATGGAAAAATGACTTAATCATACATATATGAGTCAGTTTTTGAACTGTTCATTCTTTCCAGTGATATATGTGTATCATTGTTTTGATTATATGTCTTTATAATATGAACATGTATTTTTTATACATGTTGATTCCTCCCACTTGATGTTAACTTGAAAGAATGCCTGTGACCTCCAGTTTTATTTTATTTTTTGTAAAAATTGTTAGGGTTCTTTTATGACTTTTGTATTTCCGTGGAAATTTTAGAATTAACTTGATATATTTATGAAAAAGCCTATGGGAAAGCCATTTTTGTCCAAGGTTGTGTTAAATTTATATTGAGAATTGTTATTTTAATAATCCCAAGGTTATCTATCTATTGGGATGTCTCTGTTATTTTGGTCTTCCTTAATTTTTATTGGAGATATATTGCTGTTTTCAGGACATATATTTTGTAAACTTGCTCCTGAAGTTTGTTTTTAATCTTTAATGCTAGTGTGGATAGTGTTTTCTATATTTTGCTTCCAATTGGTTGCTTGTAGTATTTAGAAACACAATGGATCCTTTAGTGCTCTTTTTCCTGGGAGCTTGCTAAACTCACTTAATAGTACTTTTACTTTTCTGTTACAGCCCTTTAGATTTCTTCATGATAGTGTTACTAATGAGGAGAAACAATTTTTCATCTTCCTTCACAGCATGTATGCTTTTTACTTTTCTTGACCCTCTCCCTCCCTTCAAAGATAAAACCTCCACTGCAATGTTAAATGTCCACAAGCCTTGTTGGCTTTGGAAACCAAAGAATCAGTCAAATGTATTTCCTCCTGACATCAGGAGAAAGTACTTAGTGACATGTACTGGTATTCTGAGATAAAGTCTTGCTTTTTGCCCATGCCCATGCCTGG